AAAAAAAAAAAAAATTTGTAAAAAAAGATGAAACTCTATAACAATTATTAATATACGATTCAAAAAAAATGGTGAAATAGGAAAAGAAAATGGTGAAATAGAAAAAAAAAAGGTAAAAAACTATATAAAGATTTTCAAAAAAAAAAAATCTATCATTGAAAAGATTTATGGTTAAAACTATTTTTTTTTTTTGTGTGTGTGTGTGTATTTGTCAGTTTTATGTCATATCAAAAACTGTTTAAATATTGTGCTTCAACACACAACACTCTTAACCGCTGATAAAATTGACTGTTCAGAGAAAAAAAACCCCATTACAGTAATAGTATTGCCAAAAAAAAAAAAAAGTCAGTAGATGAATGAAAAAAATTTTTGTTCTTTTTTATTCTTCAACTCTCTCTCTGTTATTCCTTTATTTATTTATTTATTTATTTTTACTTTAAAAAACAGAAAAATTCTCTGATACATAGCAGTGATCAGTTTTATTAATATTTGCCATCATTTGGTAACATTTTTTGTTTTTGGCTAATCAATAGCAAATGATGAAATCGGTTATTGCTGATCGGCAATTAATTTTGCATTTATAGCAAAAAAAAAAAGAATAAATAATAATAATAAAGAACCAAATAAACAAATAAATAAATTTTATAAATAAACTTTCAACATTTGCAGTTGATACTTCCAATATATTTTCAGTTTTTTTTCAAGTTTAACTCTTTCAAAAAGGCATTTGTTACGGAAAATTTGTAACTGCATTGTTTTATTCAAATTTTTTTTCCGCTAAAGAGTAATATGCCAGCAATAAATGGAGATATTTTCCTTCTTCTACTTAACATTATCTTGTCAACAGTTATATTTCTTCAGCTAAATAAGAGACTGATGAACAGCCAGGGAAAGAACCACAATTAAGCTAAAAAAGAATTGTTGTAAACACCAATAAAGCTAAAAAAAAAATTGACTTTAATATGTCATTCACTTTCAGTAACTATACAACAATCAAACTGTATACATCAAAAAAAATCAACTGGTAATAAATTCAGATGGATAAAAGCAACTGAACGCTGAAATTCAACACTGGGTATCCGGTAATGTGGCAACATTCGTAGGAAACTATAAACAGCACAGACAGCCAATATTATTTTTACAAAAACTTTTTTTCTTCTACAATTAATCATAAAGCTTTTTTTTCTTCTTTTTTTTTTTGTAAAGTTTATAAGCAGAACAGTAATTATTTACTGTAACAACAAGCAAAAAAAAGAAGAGCTTTTTTTTGTTCACCAATTCTTTACTTTTTTTTTTTTCTCTTCTTTTGTCAACTTACTAATTTATTACTGTTCAAATAATTATAAGCAAAAAAGTACAAATTTTGTGGTGTTTTCCTCTTTTTTTCCGTTCACTAAATGCACCAAAATTTTGGTGCATTAAAGTTAGCAAAAAAACAAAAAAAACACTTGTAATATATAAAAGTTTATGAAATAAGAGTTGAACCTTTTTTTCTGAAACAGTTTGTAAAACAACGTTGTCGTTGATTGTTCTGATAAATAAAAGCAGAAAAAGCAGAAAAGGAAAAAAAAAATCGGTTTGGTTTTTTTTTCAGTGTCAATTTTTTTTCATTAAAAAAAAGAAAAATTAAAAAACAAATAAAATTTGAAATAAGAAATTAGAATAAGAAAAAAAAAAAAAAAAAAGTGTTTGTTGAAAATAGGTGGCTGCTTTCCAATATCTGTAAGTTGTATAAAATTTGTTGCTATTGCAAATGTAAGGCACTTTTTTTTCGGGATGAATCCAAAGTGAAAACTGTTGTGTTTGTTCGTGTTGGGGAAAAAAAAAAAACGGTAAATTTAATTCTGTTCAATTGAATTATTTTGATTTATTTATTTCTAAAAAATTTTGGAATATTTTCCTTATTTTCCTTATTTTTTTTTTTTTATTTCTTCCATTCTGTTTTACAGAGTTAAACTTTTTTTTCATCATCATCAACAACAACAGCAACAACAACAATTTGGTACAACCAACCATTGGCATAGGCACTGAATGAACTGTTGCAAAACTGTAATTGATGGATGGGCAACAAAAAAAAAAAAAAAAAAAAAGGGGGGGAAAAAAAAAAAA